ACTCTGATCATCAGTTGGAGCTGCTCAACCAGGCCGCACAGATGATGACGGAAACACGGTTCTCGCTGCTTGTTGTCGATTCCGCCACCGCACTATACCGTACAGATTTCGCTGGACGTGGAGAGCTCTCTGCCAGACAAACGCATTTGGCCAAGTTTATGCGCACGCTACAACGGCTTGCGGACGAGTTTGGCATCGCCGTTGTAATTACGAACCAAGTCGTCGCGCAAGTGGACGGCGGACCAAGTGCCATGTTCAACCCAGATCCCAAGAAGCCTATTGGAGGTAACATTATTGCGCACGCAAGTACGACTCGTCTCAGTCTGAGAAAGGGTAGGGGAGAGACGCGTGTGTGCAAGATCTACGACAGTCCGTGTCTGCCAGAGAGCGATTGCTTGTTCGCGATCAATGAAGACGGTATTGGTGACCCCAAGGAGAAGGACCTGGAGGAGAGGAACAACAGGTGATGAGGGAGATGAGGTGTGAAGCGCCATGGAGCCGTGGCGATCTAGAGCTTTTGGTTTTACACGATTTACGTTTATGCAGCCGTATGATATCCTAATACATTACCTGAATGAATGCGCATTTTGTCCATCAGTACTGTCTGGCCTATCTTGGGGTTGAATGGCCATACTATGTGGGGAGTGAGATAAGTGGGTTGCGTTCAGGGTAGCCTGAGGTGATGGACAAAGCGTCCGTGCACCAGCCAGCTTCGCGCATCCATCGTCGCGCAACGATTGTTTTCGTGAGCTTCACCTCCGCGCGACCGCCGCAACTCGACCCCAAACGCGCGCCATAACCTCTCAGCCCCCGCAACGACGACCGCACCCCCTTCGCATGCGAGCACCATGGTCCAACATGGAGGCACGTGTCTCTATAAAGAGGCGCGCTTGAACATTGAGCCCGCCTACCCTGGCTCGACCATCGCATTCTCGATCCCGTCGAATTCTCCCTTCAGCACACGGTCCAGCGTAAAGCGCAGTGTAATCACGGAGTCATATGCAGACAAGGACGAGGAAGACTTCACAAGGCGCCATCTCGCTACAGATGGGTCCATGTACTTTCGGCAGCACCATGCCTACCCGCGCAGCTTCCTCTGGCGGGTGCTGGACAACAGGAAGATGCTCGAGATTCAGGCGACCGACTTCGATCACGACCACACCGACAAGTTCGAAGCAAACCTGACGCTCCTCTTCCAATTCCCCGCTCCGATCCGACCCTTCTGCGTCGCTTTCGCTGAGCCCGCCGACCGCGATGCATTGACCGTCTTTGCAATCACCACGGGCAACGAGCTCTACACGATCACCCTGCATCGCGACTTCTTCGCCAACCCCGCAGCGTCGGAGCAGGACTCGGAGACGTGGTGCAAGAGGTTCGAGCCGGCGCTCTTCAGCGGGCGCATACCCTACCGATTGGCCGCCGCGAGCGCAGATGAACTGCTAGTCACACTCGACGACGGGGCTATCTGTCGCCTGATCTGGGACAAGGCCAACAACACCTGGGACGGATCGCGGTACCAGCAGAGCAATTGGTCGGTGCGCGGTCTCCTGTCGTGGAAAGCGCAGCCCACGGTTCGCTTCGAGAACGCGGACTTTGCTGTATCAGCCGCGGCTGCCGTCGCGATATCACCAGACAGCAAACACATCCTCTCAGTATGCCTGGACCACTCGATCAGAGCGTGGAACATTGCGTCAGGCAAGCCAGGCGCGCACATCGACCTCTTGGGTGCCGACGACTTCGCCATGGAGAAGTCCCATGGCTCATACTCCATTGGACCTTCGCAGTCGATGCTGATGACTGTTGTGAACATCCCAGGCGGGGTGGGAGGCGCACTATACCACGTCGTTACGTACTCGCCAAAGCAGCATCAGTTCAAGTTCTGGGGCGTGAGGGATGCGGACGACCAGGAACACGGATTCTACGACGCTGCGCAGGACTCAGAGCTCATTCCGCCGATCGACGAACTCATGAACACGACTGTATGGACGCTGGAGGAATTCCACATCATACCAGGACCCAACACGTGGAGGGGCTCGGAGATCTGGATACGCGCCAGGTCAGGTCCAAGCAGCAAAGTCTACTCCCTCAAATTCGATCTCACCGACTACGCCGAACAACGAACACAAACGTGGAAGAGTGATTGGGTGTCTGTGGATTCGGGTCCTCTGACCGTCGAGGCACTGAAGGTCAATCCCGCAAACCCAAGCGAGCGGGAGTTGGAACCAGAACAGGATCTCTCTAATGAGTGGTACGAGTTTCTGTTCTATCCAGGCCGATTCTCGATCGCGACATTAGAAACCGCGTTGCGCATATACAGGAGAGGCTTGGAGGGGATACGGCACCGGTCAAATCGAGTTCACAAAGGGTCACTAAAAGAACGTCTGGTTGCCACGCTTGTCGCCCTTGCCATTGAACGCGGTCATGGCGAAGACTTCAGCAAAGACCTGACAGCGGAGTGGCAGGCATACTACGGCTTGGTGAAAGACTTGCACAAGCGGAGGGGAGAATCTTTGTCACTCAGTTACGACCGGGCTACTGACAGGCCGTGGCTAGTATTGAGCGACCATATCTCTGCGATTAGGAACTGCAGCGAGTCAGAAGTAACTACACTGAATGCAGCAGTCATCTCAGGCTCGCGTACCCTGAGCAAACCTCTACGGCAAACTCTGGATACATCGGAATCTCGCGACGTGGCACGTCTGCTGAATGCCGCAGCTTCCTTCCGCCAACGACTACCATACTTCGTCCAGCAGAAGGTCCAACGTCACATGGAGATGGACCTACTTCAGAGCCGGAACATCACGATCTTAGATCGCATGGAATGGATCGAAGGCAACAGCGAACTGTCTCAACACGTGACAGATGAGGACGTGACCACACTTGTTGAAGAGCTCGGTATGGAAGTCAAGGACCTGGGTACCGAGACTTTCCTCCGCGCCATCAGGAAACTGGATTACGAGCATGACGGCAGGCCTCAGTCGAGAAAGCAGATCGCGCGGTACGGGCTGAATGCGTTGTCATGCGTTTCCAAGGAGACCCTGGAGAACGACCACAATGCTTTGCTTGATCTGCTTGTACTGCTGCTGTTCATGTTCATCGAGCTAGAGGGAGAGACACATGAGGAGTGGGATGCGTCTGAGGTGTTTGCCGAACTTCTACTGCGGTATAAGGACTGCATGGTCGTTTCTTGGCTGGCCCGTACAGTGTGGTCTCACCAGACTGGAACCGGCCTTGCATCCGACAATCTCAACCGCATGCTGAGCGAGACATACAAGACTGGCATGAAGTTACCCATCACCCAGACTGTTCTTGAGGGTATCTACGGTAGTCGTGCCTTTGAGGTGCCACTACCAAAAGACCCGAAGGCAGGTCTACTTACCCACTGGAGTCGCGGCTGGTTGTCATTCATCTTCGAAGAACACGACTTTGAAAACGCTGTGGAGGATATGATGGGGATACTGTTGTATCAGCAAGAGTACGAACTTGCTAAGGACTTTTCCAAGTTCCTCACGGAAGGCCACTGGGCATCGTATCTGAAGGGACGTCTATATCTTGCACTAGGCAACAAGGAGCTGGCTTCTGTGTGCTTCCAGAAGCCTGCATACTATCTGGGTAAGTCTTTGACATGCGATTCTACCACGAAGATACTAATTTCTGTAGCTCTCGGTCCCATGTTCGACGTGGCGGAGGAAGACAAGGCAAACCTCATATCTGAGGTGGAGCGAAACTCGTTCTCCGAAGGCCTGGCGCACTATTACGGTCATGTTATTGGTCTGTTCGAAAAGGGCAAAGCGTACTCCTACGTTGCCGACTTTGCGAAGCTGGGGCTGCGATCTTTGATGGGTCAGGAAGACGTAGAACTGAAGACAGATCTGCTTCAACGGCTGTTCACCGCTTCGATACAAACATCAAGATTCCAGGATGCATACGGTGCGCTGATCAGGCACAGGGACACGGCCTTGTAAGTCGAAGAAGTGCTTCAACAAAACTTCGTATACTGACTATTTTCTAGAAAACTCTCCGACCTGCAGACACTCATCACATCCATGGTAGCCCAATCGCAGACCACCGAGCTTCTCAAGTTCCCCTTCGTCGGACTAACAAATTCTGTGGACACCATCCTCACATCCCTCTGCCAAAAGACACTCAACCTCGCGTCCGGACCACCCTACCACCAGATCCTCTACTCCTTCCGCATCTCCCGCAATAACTTCCGCGGCGCCGCATCGATCCTCCACGAGCGCCTCCAGCGCCTCAAGACAACATCAACCAAGATCCACGACCCGGCCGACGAGTCCCTAACACAGTGCTACCTCATGATCATCAACACCCTCTCCTCAGTCAGCAAAGAAGACGCGTACATCCTGGCTGAGCAGCGCATAGAAGCGACTGGAGGCCCGCCGCAGTGGGGCATCGGTCAGGGAAAGAAGCTGCTTAAGAGGCAGATCATCACCCTGGACACGCTGCGCAAGGAGTACCAGGCGGAGCTGGACCGGATAGCGGCGATTGAGAGTGGCCAGTTTCCTTTTGTGGATCCTGTGGATGATATGGATATCTTGTAGGGCTTGGTGTTATAGCGCGGCGTTCTTTAGCGGCTTTTGCGGGATTGAGAAATGGAAATGGATGGGGGGTTATGTAGATTTGCTATCTGGCTGGGTCTGAATTGGATCGTGGAGTGGCTAGACGTTGTTATGAGAATCCAGATCTTGAGCGAATGATGGCTATGTTGATTGCAGTCTGTGTTTCGGCAGTGTTTGTCCTGTGATTGATGAACGAAGTGATCAGGTGAGAGTGAGATGCAATGACGCGCTAGAACGCGTGACAGATGCGGGACGTCGCGAAACCTCCAGGTAGGTGCGTTGCAGCCCGCTGGAAGACAGCAGCCATCAACCGCCCCTTCAGACCCTCACGCCTCCGACCATGGCGCAATAACTTCTCTTCCTCATCCTAATTACCTCGCCAACTACAACCAAAACAATCCTAAACAAACCCACGCAGCCATGGTACCACCCGCTCTCTTCCCCAGCGCGTCCCTCCACTAACCCAAACACCGCAGAACTCCAAATCCCTCCGCCGCCTCGCTGCAGACCACGGCTCCCTCCACACCGCCGGCCTCCCCCCAAACTACCTCTTCCCACCGGGCTCCGACGACTCGTCAGACCTCACATCCCTGGACATCCTGCTCGCCGGCCCTGTCGGCACACCCTACGCAGCCGGCGTATGGCGCCTGCACCTTGACATCCCACTCACCTACCCTACCGCACCGCCCACCGCACAATTCCGCACGCGGTTATGGCATCCGAATATCGATGAGGCGACCGGCGCCGTGTGCGTCGAGACATTGAAAAGAGACTGGAGTAGCACGCTCAAGCTCCGCGATGTCCTTGTTACGATATCTTGCCTACTCATACAACCAAACCCAGCGAGTGCATTGAACGAAGCAGCAGGCAAACTGGCTACGGAGGACTGGGACGGGTATTGTAGGAGGGCGAGGCTTATGACGGATATTCACGCCGCGATACCGAGGGATATCGAGAAAGACGTGAGGGAAGCACAGATGCGAGGCGAAGATAAAACCACAGAGCCGGAACAAACCATCGCGAAACCACACTCGAAAGGCAAAGAAACAGAGCGGGTCAAAGTTACGCCGTCAGGACCCAAACTCACGCGCATGAAGAGTGAGGATGAGGAGAACACGAGGAGCAGGAGGGGTGGGACTCAAGATGCAGAGAGTGGGACTGAGGACGATGCTGTGACTGGGCGGAGGGATGGGATGAGGAGGAGCAAGGTGCCCGAGTCAAGGAGACAGGGTAATATCTTTGGGATTAAGGGACTGGGCGATGGAATGCAGCTTGACTCCCCACCGCCGAAACGCATCTTTGCTGTGCCGGGGGGAAGTACACCGCCTGTTTCTACCCCGAACGAGAAAGAGATTGGGAAGGAAAATGGGGAGGGAGAGGGAGAGGATAAGGATCCGTTTACGACTGTGGCTTCGAAACGGAATACCCACCCCGATCCTTCTGCTGAAATAGGAGGAACAACAACAGCAACACAACCCGACACCGAGACCCCCGACCTCCTCAAATTCTCAACTCAAAACCCCTTCGCTGCCATCCAACCCAACAACCAAACTCACCCGCTCTTTAGAGAGTTTTCGTTTAGTTGGGAAGATGCGATGGTGGTGCATGACGCCGGGGTGGGCGTGGCTGGTTCGGTTGGTTCGGTTGGTTCGGGTGGGAAGAGTGGTGGAAGTGGTGGCGGTGGTGGTGTCAGTGGTGTTAGTAAAGCGGATGTACGCAAGAGACACGCAACGGAGGAGTTTGAGAAGAAGGAAAAGTGGGAGATGAAGAGGTTTAAGAGGGCCGGGGGTGATTTGAAGAGGTTTAATCGGGGGGATTGGGGGGTTAGGATGGGGGTTGGAAGACTGTGATGTGTGAAGGATGGGTGGGGTTAGGGGAGGGGAGGGGAGGGAGGGAAGGAGAGATAAAGTGGTTTGCATAGCGATATGGCGTTTTGGTTCATGATGGACGATGGATGTTCACGGCGGTTGCGGTTGTTGATAAAGATGGGATGGTAGTTAGGTAGTAGTGCGTATACCCTATGAAATACACTCCTACAATTCGCGATGTCATCCTTTCGTGTTCAGATCCTCAAATAGGGCGTTGACGATGATCATCATCATCACCTTCGTGATCGGCCACGCTCATCACTTCCTAGATCCTTCACACGCTCACGACGAACTAAGAGAATCGCCAGCACCGAAGTCCAGACATCGTTCTTTTTTCCTTCTCTTTTTCGACACATCATGAACCAGCTCTTCATTTTTGGTATCACCTGCTGTTGTGGTGTGTAAAGAAAGGAAGAAGACCAGCACCGCATAGAAAGTGCTTTTATATCCCACGAGTTAGCTCTCTTTCGGTGCCCCTTGTTCACAACCGATGTTGCGTCATCATTTTGATACCGCAACACAGCACCCAGCAGACAGTCATTTACAGTCTGTATTGAACTTTCGACCTCATCACTAGGTACTCCTTCTTTTTTTGGAAATCAGTGCTCGCATGTCAAGCGTCGCGCGCTGTTTCGAGTTTCGAGAAGAGTGGAAGAGAGGGCCAGACCGAACACATGTCGGTCGGTTCTGTGCGTTTCGGGGAGGAGCCGCCGTCTCCATGTACAGCTTGGCGCTGTATTTTTGGAGAAAGAGGAGGAAAGTGGTGGATGAAGAAGAAGGGAGAAGGGAGGCGGGAGAGAGGCTTTATAGTAGAGTGAGGGTGGCGGTGCTCACACATGTCACTAATACCTAGCATTTTCGATGTTGTTTTTGTATGGTTGGTGTGGCTCGCGGAGAAGGCTGGAACGCATGAATGTTTTGAACTTGTGGTTTGGGAGAGAGGCGGAGTCTTCATAACGATGGCGACATGTCTTTTTGGTAAAATAGGAGGAAAATGTAGGATGTCAGAAGAGTAATCCAGCAACCACAGAAGGGGTTTATATGCTGAGGCGGAGGGAGCGTCGTCCACATAGTACATATCCCGGATCATTTCTGGTAGAAGCGGGCTCGTCGCGGTGGCTGGACGAGAAGGACAGAACATGACATTATCCAGGTACTATTTTGGAAAGAAGAAGCAGTCTCCATAGGTTACTGTTTCCACTGTTTTAGAAAAAAAGAGGAAGAAGTAGTGTGTTGAAGGAAGAGTACTCCGGTCGCGAGCAGAAGGTTCTATAGTCGAACTACGCGTCGTTCGCGCTCATGTCTTTGGTTTTCTCTTGTTTTTGTGCGCTCATGATGCCTCTGGTGGAGGAAGACCAGTCATCACTACGGCTACCGCGGTTTTTGGAGAGCACAGAAGCACTCATATGGGCTTTTGGATGTTATTTAAGAAGAGGAGGCGCATTCTCCATTCGTTCTCGATGTGTAACTTTTGAAAGAAAGCGCAGTGCTGCTCTCATCGCAGGCCATGGTGTAATTTTTGGAAGAAGAGGCACAAACACCATGATTCGAAAACAAGGTACTTTTGGAAAATAAGATAGAAGTGTGGATGTAGAGAAGAAGAGAGGAGCCGTCGCAGAAGGAGACTTTATAGATGGGCGACGCACGGGCGGCGCGCGCACATTGCTTCGTCATGCCTGGGTTTCTGGTGTTTAGATAATCTGTCCGCGGGAGAAAGACACCGTCATTCGTCGATGCCGAACGTGTTTTTGAGAACGCGAGGAAAAAGAGGCGAACACATCGGTGCCTTGGTAGTAGATTTTGAGGCGCAGACCCACCACTCCATGCATGTCTCGTCTTTAGCTTTTGAGAAAGACGCATGGATGTTGGATGTAGAAGAGAGCAAGGCGCAGGCACACAGCCCCATGACAATAGGACGGTTCTGTTTTTGGAAAGAGGGATAGAAATGTTGGATATAGGAAGAAGAGAGATACAACAGCCAGATGGCTCGTTTCATAGACGAGCCGAGAAGACGCTGCTAACATGTGGTCTCTATCAAGGTATTTCCGTGCGCGCATGCTGTTTTTACCGTCGTGCGACCGCGCTCTCATGATCTGATTGGCTATGGCTTTGGAGGACGCAGACGACCAGAACCAGACTCATGTTTCTTTGAACATTTGTTTTGAGAGAGAAAGAAAATTGCTGCTATCAAAAGCTTTTTGTGCAGCTTTGAGAATGGAGGATAGAATATTGGACGCCAGGCAAGAGGCACTTCTCATGCGTCGTAGTGGTATTGTTTTCGAACCGCAGTGTGCAAAAACATGCATGTATACACTCCGTGCGACCGCCAAACATGATGGCTACATCACAAGCTTTTAGGGTGTTGTGGGCTTTGGTCGGCTTCTCCGGCCATGTAGTCAGCCAATTTCAGTTTTAGAGAGAGAGCGAGGCGGAGAAGACATGAACGATTGCCTGTTGGCATTTGGAAAACAGACGCCGCCCACATGGTTACGGGCCGGCTATCTTTTGGAAAATATGAGGATCGAATGAGGTTTTCTGATGGACGGGAATCGAAGCAGCAGAGAGGGTTTTGAACCTCGAGCGACTGGGATCATGGCAAGTCGAAGCTGGTGCTTGTCATGAGCTTTGGGATGTAACCTTTGAGCACTAGGTCGATGCTAATGGCGCCGCTTCCATGCATTCTATATCATCAGCTTTCAGAAGGGCGAAAGAAGAAGCCAAACATGATGATGGCGGTATGGCTTTTTGTGTAAAAGCATTTCTCTTCATGTAATTCGCGAAGACGTCTTTTGGTGTCGCAAAGTGCGGTTTCGGATACAGGAGTGGAAGAGCTCGCAATGCGGTAGATTTATATATCAAAGTCATGCAGGTATGTGGCCTAAGAAATTTGGAGGGTAGTGAGCGTGTGAAGAGTGCACAAGGCCAGCTGCTTCTTCTCATGTTCCTTTCGAGAATGGATTTGAGAAGCGGGAAGACTGCAAAGACCCACCGATTGGAACGGCGCAGTTTTTGGAAGAGCCCAAAAGTCCAGACACACTCCATCGTAGTGATACATATCGTTTTTGGTAATATTGTTGGGAAGGTTTGTTGGGGAGTGAAGTCGCAACGACGGATGGGTTTTATAGTCGGGTCGCAGGCTCACGTGCAATAGCGCATTGGGCGAGACGCAATCATGCCATGCGTTCTCTTTGGATTTGCATATGGGGTAGCTGATATGGCGCATGATCATATCGCTCCCATGCATTCGATCAGACTGACTTCGAGGACGACCTGGAAGAAAAGAGCACATCGGTCGCTTGTCGAAATGTTTTGCTGGAACACCGACTGACGGCCATGTATTTGTCTTGTTTCCATTTGGAACGGTAGTTGCAGATGCTAGTTTTGATAATAGCGAGAAGGTCAGGCCGAAGGTACACATTTTGTAGGCGTGATGCGGCTAGTCTGCGCACACATCGGCGGTGTCGCAGTGACTAGGTCCAACTCGCGTCATGCGGAACGATTCCGAAGTCGCCCGTGCACTGATGCACGGATATCTGTGTATCACCCCTTGATTTGTGCTAAGACTGGTGCACCTTTCTCTCTCATCGGAAGATATCGCGTCTTGTCAACTCAGCACTTATGCACTTGCATGCAAAACCACTTCGAACAAATACAGGTGCTAAGCGGAGATGTATGACGAATCCATGGATACCCTGAATTGTCTGATCGGCTCTCGGAACCGTCTGACGACAGTAGTCACGATGGGGATTGTTCGTATCACAACGACGTTGAAGAACGCCGATACTGGGAATCGTGGCTACCTGAAGACTGCTATTCGCTGCCACAAAGGGTTTTCTTCCGTATGCAGAACGACACGTACTAAGAACTGACTTTCTGGTAGAGAAGAGCTAATCCGACTTGCCTGGCGCGAACGAGCGCAATGCCACGAACCTGACAAGACTGTATTTGACAATTTCTTCTTCGATACTCTCGACCCCGTATTTACGCTCTCTCTTCGGGTAGCACACCCCATGATGGGCCGTTTAAGCGCCGCATCATTTGTATGCGCTCCATCATCTCCCTAGGATACATCTCCAGGGGCGGATAATTAGCTCCATGTTTGGGTTGCTTTCCTCCATATTCATCGTCGCTGTCTTCATCTTCGTCCTCGCTGTCTCCGTCTTCGTCCTCGCTTTCTCTTTCTTCATACGCATCGTCGTAGTAACCATCGTCTTCTGGAGGAGACATGAATTTCTGGAAGTCTTTATAGCCCCACCTGCGCCTAAATTGAAGTAGATTGTTGGCAAATTCTTCTTTGTAACTGAGCGGACCGTCTGCTAGCATGCTTTGTTCGATGAAGTTTCGGTAAGGTCGATAGTATCCCGATTGCAGTGTATGCTCTTCCTTCTCCTTTCGTCATGGTTAGCATGGTCTCACATGAGATATGTGCAGACTGACCTTTTGCCAATCCTCTTCGGTGAGGTAAAATAGTCCTTGCATCTTCCGATCATCTTCACTCGACATCGTCTGGCACATAATTGTGATAGAAGAGCCAGCGTATTTCAGATCGTAAAGAGGTTTTCTCATTGCCTCCAACACGTTAAGAACGCTACGCTCCACATTCAGGAACCCGATACGCTGCGAAATCTCCATCTCGTCCAGCCCAGAGTCTTTCCACTCCGTTCTTGCTTCCCCATACCATCGAGGTTCGTCGGGCGAGATCTGAACTCGAACGTCAAGCTTAGCTTTATGTTCCACGAGCGAAAGCGCAGACTCTAGGTCACTGTGTAAATTACCGAGATTCGATAGTTCTCTCCACAAGAGTTCCTCGGATCCAATTGGCATTCTCGGGCAGATATCAGTGACTACGATCCTGATGTATATCTGCCGGATAAACTTGTACGGCAGTACACCCAGGTTGAAACAGTCCTCTGCCAGTAGCGGCATCAACTGCGGTAAGCCCGGACGTTTTGAAACCCAATCTGGCGAGATGGCTTGAGTGCCCACCTCGAAAACGTTGGTAGCATAGTAGCATTCCGCCGCTTCGCGTGCAACCTCGTAGCCCACGTAAGATGGGCAAAATACCTTGTAGTCTGATGTGACAAATTCTTCATCAGATGCCGTACTAAGACCACCCAGACCGGATCCAAAATACATTGTCTCGCAGTCAGCAACAATGTACCGGTATACTTCATCTCGTACCTCTCGGGGCACTTTAGCGTATAGTTTGGACGCAATCTGACGGACTTGCTCGCGATCGCGCTTCGCTCTGAAGATTTGTTGTTCCCTGTGACGGTGTCAATTGGGGTGGGCGCCATTTCGTATGCAGGTGGCTGTACTTAGAGGGCTCTTTGAGGTTCAATCGCTTGTGGAGCATGCGCACTGGACGCCATTTCCATCGCTTGTGTAATGGGTTTAACCCATCTGGGTCTCCCTCTGAACGTTCTTCTGAGAACTCCAGCTCCGAATCCCAACCTGAAGAAAACTCTGAAAGGTCTTCTGAGTACTCCGCCTCCAGCTGTGAATCTAGCTCTGAATGTTCCTCTGGGTACTCTGCCTCCCACTCGGGATCCCACTGGGAGGAATATTGCTCCATGACCCGAGCACTGTTGAACTTCCGCTGGGTCGACGCGATGCAAAAACTTCCAAACTACCCGGGCGAGCTGTATACTGGAGTTGTTGGGCTTGTCAATAGTTGCTTGTACCTTCGAGGATGAAGAGCGAAGCATTGATGGCACCGAGTAGCGTGACGTATCTAGCAACGTTGGCTTCTCCCTCCAATCATCGTTTGACGCGTCGACGCGCGCCCCCCTGTCTCTGCACAGACCATATGCCACACACCGCTTACTCCCGCTCATCTCGAACGATCTGCGTGAAAGGTTTACCGACTTTGCTGTTCAGCAACAAAGAAAAGCAACAACACGCGCCTCTAATCGCAGCACCTTGTATAAGGAAAACCCATATAGGTTTGCAGCCTACCTAGGTACATTAAGGTGCAAACATGCAAAGGAGAAAATCTGACGTCAACGTAGGCTCTAGGGTGTTCAGTCTTTTTCTTGAATAACGTGGCAGCGATGCCTCCCAAGGTCGATCAGCCCGATCGTGCACCGCGGAGAAAAAAGGCTGCTAAACCCCTAAGGTACTGCCACCTACATGCAAACGAAGTCATCTGGAAGTTCATACTATTGCAGGAGGATTCCCAAGAAAGCTTGGCTTGCAGAAGTCAAACGTGACAAGCAAGCTTGCCTTCGTCTAGCGGCAGCTTTTCGCACCAAGCTTCCCTGGGTTTTACGGTGCAAGGTATACCACATTCTTCTCGAAGAGGCACGCCGCAATCAAGTCGACCTAGGAGCCCCTAAACCCGGCAAAAATGCCTACGTTCCACCACTCCTGCGGATATATAGCCCTGCGTATGTTGGTGACAAAGTCGCGTGGGAAGCGGCGATTATTTTCAACAGACAGACGCATCTCGTGTGTCGTGACGTGGATCAACTCGTTCCAGCACTCATGGACAACAAACTCCACCAAAGCGTCTTCCCATACCAGTGGGTGAAAATGGTGCATATCACCTTCGATCTTGAGGCGCTTACTGTTCCGATATTGTACGAAGTTGACTATGGTTATGAAGACGACGCTGACACGGAACGGGAAGAGCTGCTCATGCAAGAACAGAAAAATTTCAAGGATCTTTTCAAGAAGCTCGAATCGGGCTTCTCACTTTTGATGAAACGTCATCCTGATGCACCTCTTTCTAGCTTGACCGTCCACCTCATGTTGAAATTGGGAGATTATCCGTACGTGGATTCACCGGATGTGCAATCGCGCATGGAAATACTAAACTGCGAGCGTGGCTTTCTGAACCTACTTTTATTCATCGAAATACCTGTATATGATTTGATACACGCTGGCGCGCGGGTAATAATCACATGGGACGAGGGGAAGGAAGCCATTTGTAACGGGCAGGATGGTCCTCTCCAGAAGCCTATACCCGGACTTTTTCACCTGAGTAAGAAGGCTTGGAAGAAGGTATGTACTGAACCTTCTCTCAAGATCATTACACAAAAGACAATCGAAAAGCATCGCACTAATTTTCTGGACTAGGAGAAAGCCAGATACTCACGTTGGGGTGATGAATATGTCCTATGCCCTTACGGCCAGAAGTATATACAAAAGTTATGGGACGGGGGCGGATACAGCAAAATATTTGCCAAAAACCTTCCTCGCTCCAGAGAGACGTGGGGGTACACTTCATTTAGGAAGCTGGTAAACATCGGGCGGCGTCGGGAGTTGGATGATGACGAAAACGAGGATGGGTTTTCGTCGGGGCCGAGCACCTATGCTGGGAGCGAGTGGGATGACGATGTCGAAGAGATTGAGGAATATGAGGACGATGAGGACGATGAACCAGTTCCTAGTCCATACTACGATAGACACTACTCTAGCGACGACTCAGGTCCACAAAGGGACTACGAAGCCACTTATGACGACATGGAGCAATGGGGCTTTTAGTCATGAGAGGCCAGGAGACAAAAACACGTTACTTACTCGTCTTCTCGTAGCCCTGAAACGCGTGCCTGGAAATATAGGACCATGTGGATGATTAGCAATGTTGGCCTGCGTCTGTCCGATGGAATGTTTGACGCGTAAACGCACGGACCACAGGGCACGCGCCACACACCGCTCTCCTGTTAATCTTGAGATCTATCGACAAGCGCTAACGGACCTGTTCTCAAGTAGCAAAAAGCAAAAGATAGCGCAGCGATGCCTCCGAGGGGCAATCGTCTCGATGGTGCACGTCGGGGCGACGGGGCCACGAAACCACATAGGTATTCTGACCCCTGCATCGTCGTCGCCGCCTTCCGGAATATTCACGTCTGTGCAGAAAGAAACACTACAAAAAGCGGCAGACCAAAGCCCAAGTCGAGCGACAGGCTTGCCATCGCCTAGCCACCGAAATGTATGCCAAGTTGCCGCGCGAACTACGGGATATCATTTACGAATACGCCATCAAAGAGCGCATATTGCACCGCGTGCCCGACTTCCCACAACGCAAAAATGTCGTGCCATCGATACAGCGCATATACAGTCAATCCTACGTTGGCGTGGAAGTCGCACGCGAGGCAGCAGAATACTACTACTCCCAACAGCACATCATCGCCAAATTCCAAACTCTAAGAGAAACCCTCACTCGAGACATCTTTCACCTGGGCGTTAAACCCTACATGCACATCCGAACACTACATGTTCGAATCAACAATGACAAGATCAGTGACTGTCTTGTGACTAAGGCAGGAGCAGACGGTCACGGCCGACTCATTGAGAACGCAACCACGGAACAATGTATAGCACACGAAAAAAGAAACCTTAATGACCTGTACCAGAAGCTCGAAGCGGGCTTTGCTCTTTTCAGGGCAAAGAGAGAGCCTTCGTTGCTGAAGCTCTGCATCATGATCAAGATGTCTGGATACAACGACGATTACTACGAGGAAACCCAAGAAGACGTTACTTCCAGGCGGGATTACGAACGCAGGTTCATGAATGTACTGGAAACCATACGAAAGCCGGTGTATGACATGATACACGCTGAGTGTAATGTCGAAGTCAAATTTGAGCCAGAACTGGATGAAGGCTACGAGGACCGCTATTGGGGCAATGGCACAGACAGTCGCAGCGAAAGTGAATCGGATTTTTACTTTGATGTCTTTTCGCCTTTGACTCTGACGCCGCCATTGTTCCACCTCAGCAAAGAGGAATGGGAAAAGGTTTGTACGCTCTCCTAGATGCATGCTACGACACTCTCCTCACCCCTGCCACACTCTCCCCGCCTCTACCAAACACCCCTTTCAAAACCTTTCTGCGAAAGCCACACTAACACCCACCACCCTCCCAGGAAAAAGCCACACACATCTACATCCACAACCGCTACAACCCAAAAGCACATTACAAATCGCACATTCTACTCCGCTACACCCGCATCAACAAGCACTACCAAATGGACTTCGCTCGAAATCTGCAGGAATACAGAGCGAGATGGGGCTACACATCATTCGAGAAGCTGTTACATGTTGGAAGATATATCTATGGGCCAGAAGAAGCCGGTGACACTAGAAGCGAGGATTCGGGCGGCTATTCGATGCCATGCTATACGAACAGCAGTGCGTATAGTGACAGTGAGCGCCCGGATGGTTGGACCCATTGGTCTGAAGAGGATGAGGATTATGAGGATGGAGATGTGGGTCGTCATAGTGACGACAGTTTGGACGAGTGGGCAATGGCTCAGATTGCCTAGCTGCAATGGTAGGTAGGCAGTACGAAATGTTGGGGAGGAGAAAGGACCGAGGAACATAGCGACGACACACAAAGTACACCTCGCAACCAATCGATTAAACGGACCAGATCCAAGCCCGTTGAGGGACTACCTAGGGATCAAACACGCTCAAATCTATGAAATCCAACGCTAGCCACCCATTGTTGAAAGTGCGTCCCCGCAGCTCACACTACTCCATTCGCGGCAGTCTTGCTCTCAGCGCCATTCTGCAAGACCTCATTCGCCTGCTTGATCGTAGGCACCGATTCGGACGGAACGACGAGCGACGCGCCGTTGACAACGCCGTTAGTGGAGTCTTGGTGCGGTGCTTGGAGTCCTTGGCGGACCTTCAGCACGCTGTCTACGATGACGGCGTCGATGCCTTCGTTTCGTTGGAGCTGTGTTGTTGTTAGCAAATGTTGCCTAAAGTGAAAGCCTATGAGGGAGTGACTTACGAGGACGTTCTTAGGATCGTTGTTCAGTATGCCGTACGAGACGCACACCAAACCACTTTCCTTCACCACCTTGACGAGTCGCGGGCACATGACCAAGGGCTCAGCAGCGGTAACGACTCCCAGCAGATTCCAACGGCTAGCAAAGCGGATGCCTTCTTGTAGACTGGCTGCTCGCACATCGCCCACGGGCAAAGTTCCCGCGTCGGTGAGGAACAGTACGGGAATTGAGGGCTGCTTGAAGGACAGCATCAGGCAGACGTCGGGGTTAAAAGATGAAAAGATAATGTTCCGTTGGCCCATCCTGTCGTACACCTTCTGCAGCACTGTATCGACGAACTGGTTCAGCTCAACGGCGTACTGGTCCATCTCCTCATCCTCGGTCTCGTAAAGCATAGGGTACTTGAATTCGACGTTGAACCCAACGGATTCAGGCAGCTCATCGAACATACGGTCGAGAGTCGTGAATGAGGACTGGATGGATGTGCCACGGTTGTTGCCCTTGAAGCCCTTCTTCATAAAGTCGCGGGTGTACTTCATTCGCTCCGCGAGCTCGTTCTGACGATCAGTGTGAATGTTGCGCTGTTTCGAGTTATCGACTGAGTACGATCGGGGTCTCCGGGTATTGGGCTTGTCATCTGAGCCATTCGCACCGTTCAGAACGGGCACAGTCTCTGGTGACCCAGCGCGAGACGACCGTGGCTTCTGGCCCTCACCGATGTGCAGGAATTGGTCCAGTGTAAGCGTGTGTACGGGTGCATCAATACCAGTTTCGCTAACCAAGAAGTCGTGATAGATGACGGGCACATGGTCTTTGGTTAGCTGAACGTCGAACTCCACGTACTCGGCACCCAAGTTGGCAGCGGAAATGAAGGATTGAATCGTGTTCTCGCCAAGTTGTAGCGACGTGCGTGAGGCGGTGTTCTTTCCTAGACCGCGGTGACCGATGACCATGGTCGATGCAGCCATTTTCTTCCAGTAGGTATGCTGTTCTGTGATCGACATGCTCGGGTGATGGAAGGGCGTAATGATCAAGAAGTTGAAGTTAACTGTGCCAATTACGTCCAGTGTCGAAGCAGCCACGATTGGTACCTTCATGTCTCCCTGGAGCGAGATGCGCTTAGATCCAATACTGGTCTTGATGGTCGACAGCAATGCCACAGCTCGTCCCACTACACGCTCTTGAGAACCCGCATATGTTGGGATAATGTCGAAAAGTAGCTTGACTTTAGTGGCATCGCTGGTCATGAAGGTGATTGGCTCGGTCGCAATGTTTTCCTGGATGGGCAAGTCAATGACCGAGGGTTCTCCGTTTGCGCCAGACGCATTAACAACCACAGACAGAGCGGTATCGAGTTGCGTCGCGTGTGCATCGGCAAGAGGGATATCGTCCAATTTCACGGCGGGCACATCTTTCCTGGCGTCCATTGAACCAAGGCTGACAAGAATCATTGTCTCTTTGGTCAAGTAACGATGGCCAAAGGTCTTCACGGGCTCGGGCGCCTTTTGAACAGGCGTATTGGTGTCTCGGTTTAGATTCTTAGACCTTCGCTCGTCAAGGGAGGATTGTGTAGGCGAGCCAGCTCGAGCAATACGCGTATCCTTAGGCGCGACAAGAGGCGGCTCTGTCGCAGGAGCAAGTTCCCCTAGTCTGATCGCTACCGCAATGTGACCACGAAGCGTGGCGTGCTCCTTTGCTGTCCAGCCAGAGTTGTCGCACCTCTGGAGATCAGCTCCGGCCGCAGCAAGAATCTCCACCATGGAGAGATGGTCGTCGACAGCAGCAATAAACAGTGGCGTCCAAGCGAATGTCTTCTCGGCGACATCGACCTCCGCCTTATTCACACTGGATCCTCCCAAAAGAACCTTGGCGCACTCGTCGTAACCGTAGCGTGCCGCCATGTGTAATGCGGTCTCTCCGCCCTCATCCCGGTAGTTCACGTCCACACCCGCTTCGACCAAGAGCTTGACGATGTCTACGAAGTTGGACCGGGTTGCTAGGGTCAAGGCTGCTCCCGATCTCGCGATGTTTTTACGAGATGTAAGGCGTTCTTCTGTGGTACCGCGCCAGTTTTCCGCATCGAGGAGGGCTTTCGTGGTGAGCGGATGTCCGCCCATTACGCTGAGATGCAAAGGAGCGTTACCCTCAGCATCCTGCCAGTAAGCGGAGTCGATTCCCTGAGCGACGTCGAATTGGCCCCAGTCTTGCATGTGCTTCATAACGACCTGGCAAATGACGACAAATCCATATTGCGCAGCATAATGGAGCGGGAATCTGCCATAGGAGTCGCAAGATTGGAGCGCGTTGCGTTGCTCAGCCTGGAGCTGATCGAGGAGGTAGACGAGTAACCGTACCGACTCATCGTTCTCGCTGAGTAATTGCGTTGACTCTTCTTCGGTGGTGGTGCAAGGGCGAGGTTGGCGATTGGGATCCGTCGCAGGCACAATGAAGTTGCGTGTCTCGCTAGAGCTCTGGAGAAGGGTTCCATCAGCACCAAACGTGTCGCCAGTCTTCGATCGACCGATATTGATGACAAGTCGGTGGATGCAATTGCGCTTGTTGATGTCGTCTTCCTCATCTAGTGAGATAATGTCCTTGAGTAATCTCTCGATACATGACTTTGCCCGGCATGAGATGGCGCGTTGCAAGAAATTCAGGAGTACTTGCTGGAACGAAGCACTCGAAATGCCATTGCTCGCAGCAGCTTCTGTGAGTTTCTGGTTGAGATCTTCGACCTTGTCGCCCCGAA